GATGGTGGACCAGCCCTCTTCCCACCGTGGCCAGAGGGTCCTTTCTCTCCCTTGTGGCTGATTCCGGTTAGCCCTAGGTCTCTGGGCTACTGTCTGAGCGCAGAAGCAGCCAAGGAAGCCGGGCGAATGGCTGTGCGCGACGGGCAGAAATTACAGGAGGACTGGTTTACAAGCAGCATCGCGATCACGCCTGTAATCTTGTTGGGATCAAGCCCCTGATGCGGTCGTGCAATGAGCTGGAGAGGCTTCCTGGAGTAACAGGCATTGTTCTTTAGTTACATTTTTGAAGTTCCTTTTCCAGGCCCTTTGGAGTCTTGTTTGGGATGGAGATTTTCAAGCTGCTCTCGGTGGGGTTTTTCAAGGGCAGGTCCTGCCCTCGGCTGCATCGCGCCCTTTCGGACAGGCGGAGGAAGGGCCAGAGGCAGGCAGGAACCACGACAAGACCGCCATGCCAGGAAAAGTGGGCGCTCGTAGGAAAAGAGGAAGGCCCAAGCATGAGACGGATTGGAAGAACGGATGGAGGTCCCCTCTTGTTTCTCCTTTTCTCTGGCTTCCAGACTCCCTTTTTCCAGGCCGAGACGCGTGCGGCTTAATGACATGTCAAGCATGGGGGGAAATGATGGCGGTTCTTGCCCTGCAGAATCGGTCTGCTTCAAACGCAGTCATAATACAAATAATTTCCAGGGAAAGAGCACCTGACGAGGATGTTAAACACTGTTAGCGTGTATAACTGCCCGGCGGAGAGAAGAATGTAAAGTCTCTCACCTTTGATTGAACGCTCACTTCCAAAATTAACCTCCAGATTTGTCTAAAAATAAATCTGCCGCTATGCGCGGCGTGCGCCAAGCTGCCTGCTTGCTGGCCGGCCGGCCACCTTTCCTCCTCCTTGGTTCAGGCCTGCCTTTAATCGGCCGTGAGGGTTTGCAGCTCTTTTAGAGACCTGGGTGGAGGAGAGGTTTGGGGTTCACAACAAGGGGATGTTTTAAGAAATGCAAACTGCCCGGCTTGTTCCCCAGCCAGCATGCTGATACTGTACTTCTTCCGAGCTCCATTATTTGCCCCCTCTCCAGCTCAGAAGGGCCTTGTTCAGCAGCGCTCAGAGAGTCACCCTCTTCACGACATCCTCTGGTGGCAGTGAGTTCCACCGTTTAACAGTGAGCTGCATGAAGAAGTCCGTCCTTCCAACAGTCCCAGAGGTCCACCGTTCGGCTCCCAACGGATGACCCTCCTTCGTGTCCTTTCTCCACACCTCGCTGGCTGGCTCCTGATTCCTGGGCTGACACAGCCCCCCACGTCTTGGTGGCTCCTGATTCCTGGGCTGACACAGCCCACGTCTTGATCGCTGGGAAATTAGAGCCGTTGTTCTATTAAAGGCTACTTAGTCCATTAATCATGAGTATTAGTTGATTGATTACTCTGCATTTGCATACGTCTGGCTTTGAGGAAAGCAAACGGACCGTACATGTTATTGTCACGGCAAACGCCATCTTAGGAGAGCCGCTCCGTCCCAGATGTATGTACGTGAGAAAGTAAAGAAAAAATCCGTGGGGCTAAGCCAGTTGAGGGTAACCTGGCTTCCTGCTTCCGATCCCGAAAAAGTTCCAGAAAAAGTTTTATTTATTTTTTGTATTTGCATCCAGAATTGCCTTGGCCTCTGGTTGCTGTAATTAGAAGCCGGCTTGTTGTGTGTCTGCCTTCCTTCATGTGGCTTTCTGGCTTTGTTCTCCTGTGGGTTTGTGTTTTGTTTGTTTGTTTGTTTTTTTGGGGGGGGCGAAGGAACTCGACGAGGAGTTAAAACCAAATAATAATGACGAGGATTGAGTTTGAGAGTTGGCTTGAGGGAGCTTTTAAATCCCAGCCA